CACAGCACACGCACTTGTGGTCAAACAACACAGAAATATGTATGGTGGTCAGCTGAGAAGTCCAATTACTCCTTCCTTCAGAATGGCAACACGTACAAAGAGGACAGTCCCCGCCCGGCCCCTGCGCGCAATGCGACAGCGAAAAATCGGCGTCGACCAGATGAACCGACACACACACACACATTCAGGCACACACACACACTCAGACACACCACAGCAGGCAGGCAAGCAGGCAGGCAGGCAGGCAGAACTGCATTGTTCTCTGCTCGCCAAAAAGGGTAAGCAGAGGGTCCGGGGCGCGGCTGGGTGTATTTGTCTGTGTGGCTCATGGCATGACGGGCAGGTACGGGAAGTAGTTCCATGGCAGGATGTAGAAGGCTGAGCCCATGTTGTGGATCAACGGCAGGTCCTCACTGCAGGCGCACACACACGCACACGGAGGGAGGGAGGGATGGAGGGACAGAGGCATATGTCTGTTCAGTTCGTGTCTTCTCCTCCCTCCCTCCCTCCCTGTCTGCCATTCTCACCTTCGTGTTATGTGCTCCTTGCCGATCGTCACCCACGCCACGAGGTCCTCATCCACGAGTGAATCCCCTGCACACCCACACACGCACAGACGTGGCCAAATTGTGCGTATGTGCGTCGCCATGGGTGGCAAACACTCCCTCACTGACCATCATCCACGTAGAAGCCGAGGGAAGAGTTGTGGACAGGCGATGACGGCACCCACATGTCGTAGAGCGACGTCGAGCAGCACTCCCAGTCCTGCAACCAGTGTATGCAAAGCCATGCCAACACAACATACGGAGAGGCTCTCGCCCCTCCCTCCCTCCCCCGTGCTGCCACGCACGCCCACACGCCCACCTACCTTTCTCTTTGTGAAGGTCACGTGGTTGTCCGCAAACCTCGCCACCTTGGCGAACGGGTGGCTCTTGGGCAGCACCTGCAGGTTGGTCGTCAGCGGCACAATCGCGTACCCCGGATGGTTCTCCGTCCCCTCTATCGGGGTCGCATGAGCATTCACCACCCGCCACACGCTCGGCGAGTGGAAGTCCATCGTCCACTGGCTCTCGGCCCCCTCGTGTGTCACCAGCGCCTCTTTCAGGTACTTGGACGGGGGCGGGGAGGCCTTTGCGAGGAGGGGGTTGGTCGATCGCACATCGGCCGGCCAGGCGGAGAGCTGCCCGTCCTGGTCGGTGCCTTGTGCGTCGAGGTAGCCGACCTTGCTCATGGTCTTCTCGAGTCTGTTTTGAGTGCCGTGGACGTCTAGGTCGACCTTCCAGTTGGTCAGGTGGGTGTGCAGGGGGGCCGCCAGCTGCAGGAAGGCACGCAGGCAGGCAGGCAGGGAGGAAGACATACATACATCCATCCATCGCTGGGCGGGTGTTGGTCGGCTTACGTTCTTGTGCACAATGGTGCTGTAGGCCTTTCCGCTGGGATTGAAGTCCGGGTGATACCTTCACACACATAGACACACACACTCCCTCCCTCCCTCCCTCCCTCCGTGGCTCGTTCATTCACTTGACTCACTCACCAGTGTGTCTCCATGTATCCGGCCAATGTCGTCATGACCTGTGCACTGCCGTCAGGGTAGAAGTGCACCTCCATGATGTAGTCGTAGTTGCCCACAGTGGCCACCTGCCGCACCACCAGGCTCTCGGCCGCCAGACCGCTCGGCCGATAGAGAAACGGCTCGGTGTGCCGCCAGATGGAGGAGCCGCTGCTGTGGGTGAAGACACACGCTGCCACGAACCAGTCGGCCTTTGAAGGGTCCCATAGCTGCCTGCATTGAATGCATTGCACGGGGGAGCGACACAGACAGACAGACAGACAGACAGTTGGGGATGTGTGTGTGTGTGTGTGTTGATGCGTTACATCCACGAGGCGAAGTTGATGTAAGTGGCGTCGTAGGGGCAGTCGACGCCGGGGATGAGGTTGGCGGACCACTGGGACATCGTGTAGTCCTCGTCGCTGACACACACACACACACACACACGGCCCTACACACCGATATGCCCACCCATTCGCTTGTCAATCATCAGTTACGCGTAAAAGAACTGCTCGTGTCCCTCCCCGGCATAGTCGGCGTGCGACGCCTGAGGACACCCATACCCAACACACACACACACACACACATCTGTCTGCCTGACTGCCTGCCCGGCCGGTGTCTGCGTCACGTGTGTGTCGACGGCCAGCCACCTGGAATGAGAGCTCGTATGCGATCCTCTGCCCCTTGAACTTCAGGTTCCTCAGGTCCAGCCCCCGGGAGGGCCGCACCGTCATAAAGAAATCCCAACCGAGGCCGCTCACCTACAAAACACATAATACCCAACACCCACAGCAGATGCCCGGACGAACATTTGTCTGTGTGTGTGGTGGGTGCGGGGAGGGGG